GTTTTTCGGTTCGGTTCAGTTTTTGCAATTTTTTGAACACCCTTAGAGCTTCATATTGTACTCCCTTAAAACTGTGAAGGCCTGAATGAGGTGGTCTAGATGTTGCTCAGCTATCAGGAACTTAACAAGCATGTCGTCAATGTACAATTCTATAGTATCACCCAAGTGTTTTGCAAACATCTTGTTGACGAGTCGTTGATAGGTGGCCCCAACATTCTTGAGTTTGAATGACATCACTTTGTAACAGTAAGTGCCCATTTCTGTGATAAAAGCAGTCTTCTCTTGGTCATCCAGATGCATAAGTATCTGATTGTAGCCGAAGAAGACATCCATGAAGTTGAGTAACTCATGACCGTCTATAGCATCAACCAACATGTTAATGTGTAAGAGAGGAAAAGAGTCGTTAGGGCATGCTTTGTTCAGGTCTATAAAATCTATGCAGACTCACCACTTTTCATTCTTCTTTTGAACGACCACCACATTAGCGAGCCAGTCAAGGTAGTGGACTTCCCGAATTAGCCCATAACTTAAGAGTTTTTCTACCTTTTTGTTGATGACTCAGTTTCTCTTTGAGGCAAAACTTTCTTCTCTTCTGTCTGACCGAGTGACAATTAAGATCAACCCAGAGATGGTGCATTATTGTGTCAAGGCTAATCCCTATCATATCCGTGTGGGACCAGGCGAAGCAGTCACGATTCTATTGCAAGAAGTTGATCAGTTGCTCTTTGATTTCAAGACTCAGTCGGGATGATTCGGATCAATCTGTACTTAATCTAGTTCTTCCATTGATGGTTGATCTGGCTTGGCTGAACTAGTCAAATTTGTCTATAGTTGTTATAAGGTATGGGACTTTCCTTTAAAGGCATTCTTGTAACAATCCCTTGATGCCTCAGCGTCGCCCTTGATTTCTCTCACTCCCCACCTAGTAGGGAATCTGATTATCTGGTGGAAGGTTGAAGGGATGACTCTCATGTCATGGATCCAAGGTCTGCCTAGGATAACGTTGTAGGGAGAGGGGCAATCCATCACAAGGAAAGTAGTTTGTCGATTTACCCCACTTGTATAGACAGGAAGGGCTATCTCCCCGATTGTGTATTTTTGCTCAAAGCTGAACCCAACCAAGATGGTGGGGCGTCTGTTAATGTCTGACTCATTCAAGCCTATTGACTTAACAGCTTCTAAGAAGAAAATGTTGGCTAAAGAGCCTCCATCCACGAATACTCTTTTACTAGAATATTTGTTATTTGTAGGGTGATCATTAAGGCATCATGGTATGGAGCAGTCAAGATGGCCGACTCATCATCTTCAAACTAGATGACTTACTGAGTGGGCTTCTATGTGGGTGGATTGGAAAAGCGGGCTTTAAGGTGATGGCTCACTCAGGCATGCCTTTTTGCCGAGGAAAAACTGACTCCACTGATTTCTGAGCCGCTAGATATCATATTGTAGAAACCTTTCGGCTTTGGATCTGGGGGAGGGGAGGACCGGTTTTTCTCATCCCTGTTTTTCATGGTGCTATTGCCCTTATCTATCAGTAGGTCTTGAAGATGTCCTATCTTAAGTAAGCCGCAACCTCCAACTTCAGAGCGATGCAATCGATCATGGTATGCCTATGGTCATGATGGAACTCGTGCCATTTGGCCATGTCCCTTTTAATGTCAAGTCTCAACTTGGGTGGCCATTTGACTGTCTGATCCATCCCCTTCATTATGGAAACCACTTAGGTCAACTCGACATTGAGGTTATATTTAGGGACCACGAGTGAAGAAGAATTGGAAGGTATGTATGTAGGTCGGGCTGGATGGTGGTCATACGGTTTTTGATTGTTTTTGTTGAAATTGCGAGCTGGAGTTGGGTTGTTTATTTCATATTGCCAAATTTTTAGGCGTCTCTCACTCCGGTTCTATTAGTGTTCATCATAGGGTGTGTACCTTCTACGGTTTGCTTCATCCTCTTCCCATCTTACCTGGATGATCGCTTAGGCTAGAGCGTCCTCCATAGAATTACAACCTAGTTTGGTGAGGTCTTTGTAGAGTTCCCCATCGGGAAGGAGTCTTTTCCTAAAGGCATCCATTGTTGTCTCAGGATTGTAGGATGATTTTGATATCTTCTCCTTATTGAACTGACTGACATATTCCCGTAGCAACTCTCCTCTTTTCTGATAGATACTATACAAGTTAGCTGACAACTTCTCAAGCTTCTTGCTGCTTGCAAATTGTTCAACGAATATGTTAGTGAGTTGGGCGAATAAGCCTATAAAGTTGTTGGGGAGGTTTGTATACCATTGAAGGGTTAGTCCTAATAGGCTGGAGCCAAAGCTCTTGCACATGCATGCTTCCTTGAGATCCCGTGGTATGGAAATGGTAAACATCCTCTATTTGTATGAAGCAATGTGATCATCTGGGTCGGTCATACCATCATGGGGTTTCATGTTTAGGATAGAAAACTTTTGAGGCATCTTGGCTAGGGCTATGGAGTCAATGAAGGGTGAGTCGACATGGTTGTAGGGAAGGCATTTCTTGGTTAGGGTGGGGACTCTAGGTATGTGTCTCATCATAGCTTCCATGTCGGCCAACTTTTTTGCTAATATCTGTTCAAGAGGAGTGGCAATAAACAATATGTATGGATTGACAGTTTAGGAATGAGTGTTTCTCTCACTCGGTCTAGTAAGGCGAGCCGAGTCGTTGTGGATAGCTTGGTGGCTAGTATTTTGTGTGCTTGGGGTTCCATTCATCCCTTCATGATGAGTCATCCCAAGTGTAAACGGTTCAGGTACTCTATCGACATGGATGGTTAAAGGTGTAATTTGGGGGCCGTTCGACCCATGAGGATGAGTCAAGTCGAGCAGTGTTTGGCACGGGTGACTGCTCGACCCATGAAGGAGAGTCAAGCTGGAAGGGTCTTGGATGTAATGTGGGTCATTGATGGGGTGGTCAATGTTGGTGATATTTTGTTGTTGGTGGCTGGGAATGGCTTGAATGAGCTGGTCACAGGTAATTGAAGGGTCAACTTATAGGGGTCACGTTTGCATGGCTAGATTTCCTATATCTATAGTGCCGGGTGCCAAGTCATCCGTTATGGATGATTGGAGTTGGGAGGATTGTGGGTCTGAGGCCGAGGATCTAGGATCTGGAGTCATGAGTGGTTGCATGGAGTTTATCGGGAAATGGAATCGATTTTTCGATATCTGATTGAATGGGAAGTCAAGAGAATAGAATTGATTTACCTTCTCCCGTAGGTTTTGATTCTTAGCCTGGATGTTGTTGTCCTCGGTTTCTACTGTCATGACCTTGTTAGCCTATTGCTCATAATGCCGAAAGAACCTCGACCTTAGCTGTGAGGTCTGCTGAGGCAGTATTTGTGACTTCATCCATGACATGATTCTTCGTAGAGTAGGATGTCGAATGAGAATTGATTGCTAGAGTCCCCACAATGGGCACCAAACTGTAGATGGAATAATTCTACGGTTACAGAAATAGGGTCTGATCCCGTGAGGTTAAGGCCACTAACAATCTGTTGTACCTGCACACAAAGCAAACAAGCATGAAGCTTACGTAAACACCGGTGTGGTGTCTGTTGTAGGCACTCCGACGCTCAAGTCAGAAAGGCTGAATGAGGCAATTTAGTGAGAGCTAAGGGAATGAAGGGTTATCGTAAGTTTAGTCAGAGACTAGAACCACAATGTGGGTGGATAACTCTTAGAAGCAAGAATTTGGATGCAAGGCGGTGGTATTGAGATTGAATCACTAAATAGAAGAGTGACCCATGTTTATATAGTAGTTATAAGATCTTCGTATCCTAATAGGACTTCAAATCCATAAGGGAAAAGGTTTAGTGAATAGGAAAGATCCTGGTTCACTTGCCTCATTAGTAGCAAGAGTTCAAATTAACCTAAGATACAGAATCTTAGGCGAATTAGGATAGAACTAAATAGGAAGAGTCCTACTTACCTTGGTCTGGAAAGTCTAGCCTTAGATGGGCTAGTAGTGACGCCCATTTTGGAGAGAGGTTGGATTTGGGCTGCACATTTTGGTCCATGCCATGAATTATGATGATGGCCCAACTGAAATTGGATCACAGCCTTGGGCCTATGTAATAGCAAATACCTGCTTGGGCCTAATACCCAAGGTGATTTTTGGCCCATACAACATTTATGTTACATATCATTATAATAGAATATTAGCCGTCACTACTACCAAAATCATCTTTTCATTTTAAAATGAGAAATGAGTTTCATTTATTTGAATGTGTTGAGTTTTATTTGGGGTATGCCATAGTTGGGATTGTTTTTAATTTGTATTATTTTGGGGTTAGAAGTAATTTGCCTCATAATTTGTTATCTAATAAAGGTTAAAAGGGTAAAATTGGTATTTCAATAGTCAAAACCATCAGAATTCAGGTGGACGGAGTCTAATAATGGCGTGATGGTGTTTCTGAAACTTAGGGGGTAAAAGTGTGCTTTGGTGATAGATTGGGATCAAAATGTTATTCAGCTTCTTATCGATTTTTTCTTATTTACCGATGTCAAAGTTAAAAAGGAATTTTAGTAATTGCATGTTTATGATACTGAAATTTGAAGTTAAGACTTAAGAAACGCTTTATTTCATGAGAATATATTGAAAATTCAAAAATAATAATAATTAATGTATTTTGTAAGACTGTTCAATAGGTCTTCTAAATCTAATCTTCTAAACTTAAATAATAAAAACTAAATAAAGTAGAAAAAGTAGACTTAAAAATAGAGAAAAAGCTAATATTTGTGAAAGTCGTCTAACAAATAAAACATAAAGTTTGATATTGATGCCAATTTGCATATCTATATTACAGTGCAAAGATGAGGTTACCAGCAAAGTTGCAGACCTTATTACAATACAAAGGAATAACGTTATCGTCATACACTCATACTACATAGCAACAGTGTAACGTTACCCTGTAACCTTAACATAACATTAAACAATCAATGGAATTTCCTGTAAGAAATTGGAATAAAAAGCAAAACAAATAATAATTGTAAGAAATTGTAATTTCCTGTAATTTTGTCCAATCCTCCCAGGAAAACCATGGCAAAATCCAAGCTAAACAAATACATGAATTGATCACAGCGCATCAGGCTAGTTCATCCTAATCCAAAATATTGACAGAATCATGAATAATACCCTCATTTCTTTCTGAATCTGGCAAGCAAAAATACCAACTAACCAAGACGGTTTAAGTGCTCATACAAAACCAATACAAAAAATATAGTTATAAGACGGACTAGTTTGTTTCGATTTCGATTTGGATAAAGGCAATACAGTGACTGAAAAAGATAGAAAAGCAGAGGCACCTTTAATCTATGGCTCGACTACACTCACTTGCTCCCACTCTCCATCAACTGCTTCCTTCCATAATGTAACATTGTTTGCATCTGCTACGGCCAGTAAGTTTCCAGTCAGCGACCATGAGACACTCCAAACTGGGGTCTTAAAGTCCTTCAAAACCTTACCCTCCCAATGCTCTCCTTCCCGGGCACAAGTCCATATAACAACTGTACCATCCTGTGAAGCACTTGCAATTGTGGATTTTGGAAGCCCCAAGTTGGGTGCCCACGCTACACTCCTCACCCAATCAGTGTGCATTTGAAGGGCAGGGAAGCAATCCATCTTCCAAATTCCATTATATAGCTTCCACACCTTTACAGTGTTGTCGCAACCACAAGAAGCCAGTTTCTGAACAGGTTCCAGTGATCCAGATCCAACTAAGGCACCAGGAGCCATTGCTGGGGCCCATGAAACAGATGTTACTCCCACTGGGTGGGCCTGGTCTATCCTGGTAGTGTCCCAGCCACCATCAGCCCTTGCAGTAAAGACTGAGATGTTACCATCAGAAGATCCACAAGCCAAGCAGAGACCAAGTTCATGAGGTGCCCAAGCAATGGAGTTCACAGATGCTTTATGATCATTGAAAATATGAGCCTGCATCCACTCGTTTGGATTGCCTTCCTTCCAGATTATCACTTGGCCATCATAGGAACAGGAAGCAAGGATTGACCCGAACTTGGGATGAGCCCAAGCAACCTGCCAAACAGGACCTCTATGACCTTTCAATGTAGCAAGGTGCTGAGAACTAGAGTTGTTGCTCAAACCAAGTATCTTAATGCTGGTGTCTGATGAAGCCGTGGCCACACGCTTTCCATAGTAATCCATGGCTACATCATGAACACTGTCTTCATGACCAGTTTCAATCTTCTGTGCAGGCATCTTTCCTGATTTTTCTTCTTTTTATTACCCCTCAAACTCCTACTTCTTTAAACTCTAGGTAGTAAGCTTCTTATACCTTACCTCTCAATTCCAATTTTTCTGCATGAATTCAACATCATGGATCAAAATTATTCATAAAGTTAAACTATCAAAAATTCAGCACAAATAGATAAAAAATTATTCAAACCTTTTCTACATGCAATTAGAATATAAATTTGAGACAATAAGGTACCAATTAAAAGAATTTTGGGATTTCGTATGGTACACATACGGCTAGATCACTTAAGATCCACCATTTACATCCATCACAAGGTAACTAAAATCACCAAAGTTTTAATCGCAGATATTATTTAGAAGAAACAATAAGATCAATCTGCTTTTTCTTTTTCTTGTTTACCTAGGTTTTGGATTCTTAATGTAGGCATGTTGAGCGATCTAAGGAGTCTTATTTGGTAGAGGGTTTTAAAATAACAATAATCTGTCCCAAAATTGTCAAATTGCCATAGACTAGTTTTTTTTACCTGGGACACGAATCTTAGATTTTAATCTCATCAAAATAGTTGAATCTTTTGTAAACCATCAAGCCTAAAAGTTCCCAAGCCCAAAACTTCTATTAGTGCCATCAATATGCAGGAAAAGATAACAGTAGGATCAGCTTCTTGAGTTGATAATCGGCTAGATGAATGACTTGTAAAGTACCTTGGTATGCTTTTAAGAGGCAAACTGGGGGCACTGACTTCTAGTAGTACTATGGTATGCTTTTAGGAGGCATTCCAAGGGTTACTGTTTTCTAGAGTCTACTAATTGATTATCTTGGTATGCCTCTTGAAAGGAAGAAGAGTTACCCTTTTACATTCGGTTTTATCTAAGTACTCCCTGTATTTCTCTCCCCATTCCAAATTCCCGTCAATGTGGCAAAGTGAGAAAAACTCAAGAGAGAAGTGAGGTAGAAAGACCATCTAGTAAGCTTAAAAAATTCCCTAAAACAAAAAGGGAATTTGGTGATGGAGATATTTTTTACAATTTAAAAACAAGTATCCACACAAGAATGACTGGGATTCTATCTAGGTGACTAGGGGTTCTGATGCCAGCCATAGACACTCGTTTCTCAAGGAAACAACTTGTTTCTTTCTTATTTGAAAGTTGATTGTAGGCCATGGAGCAGGAAAAAGGTTTTGAGAAAACAAGTCATACAAGCAAATGCTTTCTGCAACCTGCTCCCAAGAATTTAAAAGCTATCCACTAATTGCCAATATGTTAAATTTCTTCTATTCTCATTGGGGTTAAAACCTTAAATTTACAAGAAACCTAAATGATGCAGAAGCTAACGACTAAACCAATCTTCTTAGGTTATCCACTAAACGCCAATATGCTAACTTTCTCTTAATGTCATTGGAGTTAAAACCTTAAATTTACTAGAAATCAAAATGATGCAGAAGGTAACGAATAAGCCAATCTTCTTACAGTGATTAAACCGATTTCTCCCAATGAAAACTTGACTAAAGCATTCACTAATACCTTTCTTTTCTAAAAATCATAACATCAACCCTCATCTGTATACAATGAAACCCTAAAGTTGAATAAATCGACACTAGAAAAACAAAAAAACATGAAATAATACAATTCGAAAATACCCCAAACCCAGGGAGCATAAAAAAGGGTTTATTTTATTTAACTACAGTTTAAGTGATCTATTCATTATAGACAAGTTTCAGCAGATCCTAAAATTATCAATTGAAAAGCATATCAAGCAACATGTAAAATAACTAAAACAAATGAAAGCAAAAGTTATAAATAATAATTCAAGTAACAGAATAACAAAATTCTTCAAATTAAAACAGAGATTATGAATCAACAAATACAATCAAATCCAGAACACACACAGATCGGCTATAAAATTGAAGAAAACACGCGTAAACGACACAATTATATCGAAATTTCGCCAGATCTAACCGCGGCGAGAACTTAAAATCACAGTAAACGAGAACAGAAGAAGATCGGAGGAGATATAGAAAGTGTAGAAGTGTACCGGATCAGAGGTGTTCGGGAAACGCTACAGTGTCGAGATATGAGAAGGAGGAAGAACACGTCTGAATTTATGAAGAAAGGCGTTTGAGTAACTCAGTTTGGGTTTGCGATTATGTGAAACGTCGCCGTTTTTGTATTTAATGGGATGAGTGCTACTCCCTTGTGTTATACCCCAGGGTTTTAAACAAAGTAGTATTGTGCGTACTAACGGATTTTACTAACCAGTATACTAACTTAAAGCATAATATGAGTATTATATATATAGTATGAATATATAGTAATTTAACAAAGGTTAATCACTGGTAGTAAAATCTGTTAATGTGCAAAGTATTATTGTTTAAGGGTAATGTTATGCGTATTAACGGATTTTACTACCAGTATACTAACTTAAAGCATAATACAGGTATCATATGCATAGGATGGATACTATATGTGATTTTAACACTGTTAGTAAACTCCGTCAGTCCCCAAAGTATTATTGTTTAAACAATACATTCACCTTCCAACAGGTTTTGAAGATTTGTGCTTTTTCCCTTGAAGCTTTTGACTAACAGCAAACATAATTAACAGCAGGAAATCAAGTTTGCCCTGATTTATATTGATGAAGTTCGTCAGGAATTCAGCATAAATTTTCTCTTCTTTTCATTTATCCAGGCTACGGATTAAACTTATTATGGGGTAAATGCCAACACACAAAAAACCCATGATAAATGGATGAGATAAATGCTTTTTCCCACTAAATAATGGTTTAAGGACACTTTTTCACCATAGACTTTTAAAATACAATTTTACTATCCAAATTTGTATTCTCTTCCGATTCTAAATTGTTACGACCCACAATACTACCATTCTCTTCTCCGATCACATTCATCAAAACCCCTCAAATCCTACTCTCGCCGTCCCTCAACGCGGGAATTAGGATAGGTTTGCACAGCCACCCCTCTCAAGTCAATTTCGATCAATCCCAACCACAAATCTAACCTCACCACAAAGACTCACGACCTCCTCTCTTCAAAAGCTCCAAAACCTAGATCGCGTTTACTTCTGTTTCAGTTGGAATATAAATTTGATAATAAAGTGCATTTTAAAAGGTGGTGGGAAAAGTGCTAAGCATTATTTGGGTGAAAAAGTCATTAACTCTAAAATTATGGTCCAAGATAGCACATATAAAAAATGAATGATGTTATTTACTTATTTAAGTCTCACTTAAACTTTTTTTAAACCCTAAAATCAATTAAATTTAAATATATTTTATTTAATTCCAAAATTAACCTTTCTTAATCCTTTTTAATTATCTACTTTCTCTATTTTTAATTTATTTCTTTTTTAATCCTTTTAACTTTTCATTTATTTAATCATGACTAATAAAACAAAACAAAAAAAATTAAAAAATTGCTTCTTTAATTTTTTTTCCTTTTTTTTGGAAGTGAATAAATTTTTCAAATATACTTTCGATTTAGAAGAAGTTATGAAAACAATAATAAAAAACAAACAAACAAAGGTTGAAAAAAATATTACCGGTAAAATATGACAAGAAATATTCTTTAATCTTGTTTTGGTTTGTTTTATGGGTGTTTCCATAACGGCGTTTTAGAAAATAAAAAAAGTTAAAAAGGATTAGGAAAGTGAAGAAGTTAAAAGAAAAAAATTAAACAAAGGATAATTTGGAATAAATTAATATAAATTTATTTTTAAAAGTAATTTTGGGCTTAAATAACACTACTCATGCAAAATGGGTCAAATTGAAGGTTTGGGCCCCCATGGCCCAAACCTGAGAAATCATCAAAAAGAAATGAGACTGGCGTGACACGTGGCATATAGGATGCAATGTCACCCAATTATTCACTTTCTCAACTCAACTAAAATGTGACCACCAACCACCATTCGAGACACCACGACGCTGGTAAAAACATGACCATACATGATTCAACCCAAAATTTCTCCACTTTCTTTTTTGGGTAGGTAATTGGGGACACTCTTGCCCTTGTACAACTAAACCAAGCCCTTGGTCTTTTAACTTTTTAATCCATCTTTCACTCTATCAGGTCAGAAAGGGTGGTTGTTTTTCCACATTTCAAGGGGGTGAGTCTATATAAATCCGTCGTGGGGACCAACTAAGCATATACTATGTTCTAAGAATTACACAAAAACACTACTTTTCTTCTTTTTTTTTATCTATTGATCCATATTTGACTTAAGTTCGGGGCACGTTACAAAACCACTAGCATGCCTTGACTTAGTGAATCTTGTGTAATGGATTACAGGTCATAAATAATCTCCTAGTTACACAAATGGTTTGCCTAGGTCAAATTTTTGCACAAACATGTATTAAGAGGTGATCGATATTTTATGAGAAAAAGTGGTGACATGATCAATTAAATTTAGGATTTTATTGCCACATGCACTAGATATGACTGAACAACCACAAATCTATCTATCGATTGCATAAAATTCAGTCATTTGATTTTTTGAGGTTGAAATCCACGTGTATAGATGGTCTAAATCATTCCCCTTGTACTTCTAAAGCTAGATGCAAATAATTAATAAAATTAACCCAAAACAAAATAAGTTAAATAAACCCCTTGTTATTATGGATAATATTATAGGGTCAATGCTAATAACAATTTGGATTTCGATAAATCAGGATTAGTAATATATTATGACCAATATAAGGTTTTTTATATTTTATATGAACTCTCTTGTGAAAAATACTAACACAAGGATACGAGTCATTGCCTTGATTTCATAATTTTACCATTGCTTTGAATTAGTAATATCAATTTGTTTTCCTTTGAATATGATTTATATATTAGATTTGTTACACTCTCTATGCTAACTTTGTCAAGATTATAATTTAATATCATTGGATTCATCAGATATCATCTCTATAATGCAAGTAAAGTGTCCGAAACGTCAAAAAAAAAAAATGTCACAGACACTAAAAACTACGTCACAAGGGAGTACAGAAATAAAAAGTTTCGCATAGCTATATTGTCTCATGAACCTATTTCTTTTATGGATACATATAGCACATATCCAAACATTGGTTAAAACCAGCACACAATAAGCATTTCAAAATACAAACAAACACATATCCAGCAAATTGAATACATATCCATTTCACCGACAAACTTACAGACAGGAAAATAATGGTATCAATTCATATACCAAACTCATCAGCCACTCGAGCCTCCAGGGTCACTACCAGGCATCGTACTATCGGCTACCACAAAGGTTCGGGAACCTACTATTGGATAGTAGTTAAGTTAGTGTTGGCTATAGTTAGCTATTGTTATTAGTTGAACTGCTGTAGTTATTAGTTGAATGTGGTTAGATATTGAACTATGGTTAGCTACAACTATGATTAAGTAAACCATAGTTAATGAAGCTAATATAAAATTGTAAGTGTTCTTTAGAAGGAAGCTGAATAAGGAATAAAGAAATGTTTTTCTTCCTGAATTTTTTTCTGAAAAATTCAGATGGTATTAGAGCACTATTTTAAGCGCGAAATCAATTCTTCCATTGAAGAAATCAGCCGACATTCAAGGTTTTCCTCATCCTCTTATCGATGCGAAATCAATTCTTCCACTGAAGAAATCAGCCGACATTCAAAGGTTTTCCTCTATTCTCTTAAATGATCTTCATCGCTGATCTCATCATCAATTAAGCTAGTTCTAATCAAAGGTTTTCCTTTATCCTCTTAATCGATCTTCATCACTGATCTCATAATCAATTAAGCTGGTTTACTTACTGAAAATCGATTAAGAAGCCCGATTAGAATTAGTGAAATTAGTGAAATGACAATGATTCTAGTTCCACTTTTACATACATCCTTGGATACTCCAGTTCAATTTTAATTCAACAGCTCACTGGAAAGAGAACTAGGGATACGAAGTAGAGCTATGGCAGTGTCTTTGAGAGCAAAGATAAATTGGGTTTGTTGATGGTTCTTGTGGAAATCAAAAATCAGTGAATCCTTGCATGCATATGGGACGATGTAATTCCTTGGTTTGGCATGATCTTTAATACTGTTTCGAAGGACATCTTCAATAGCATCGTGTATTCGAATAGTGCACATCAAGTGTGGCAGGATCTTCAAGACAATATAATAAGGTCAATGGAACGAGAGTATTTGGAATTCAAGAAAAATTGTGATTTGGTCAAGGAACAAACTCGATTGCAGTATATTACGACAAGCTAAAGACTTATGGGATGAGTTGAGTTCATTGGTGAGTATGCGACACCAGATAGTGAATCAGCCAAGGCCTATTTGGCTCATTTGAATCAACAGAGCTGTTACAGTTTCTAATGGACTCAACGATTCCTACGCCTTAGTACGAAGTCAAATTTTACTAATGGTTCCTCTACCATAGTGAAGCAAGCATATTCCATAAAGCAAGATGAAAGTCAGAAGGTTTTACTGGGTTTAATTATAGTACAGGGTTACTACTGCATTATACTCCAAGGGAATCAAAGGAATCAGATCAAAACTCAAGATATAAAGGGAAGAAACCTATATAGAGTGTGATTATTGTCATGCTCCAAGACATAAAGGGACAATTGCTATAAGCTACACGTTTATCTAGCAGATTTCAATTTACCAAGGAAAGTCAAGGACGAAGGCTAAGGCAATAGTTCACCATGTCAAGAATCAGATTCACAGACACAATTGATGAACTCTGAATCTGCTCTTGACAATATGAAAGGGGGAACCAATCTTGGAAATGTGTATGCCAAACAATATGCTCATTGCTGCAGTTGCTAGGGAAAGAAAACATCTCAACGCCATCTGAAACTTGGCAGGTAAAACTGTCTCTCTATACTCTAATTGGGATAGTGAAGATTGATTCTGATTCAGGAGCTACAACCAATGACCCATAATTTCCAAAACCTTGAATCTACTTTTGCTAGCCAATCACCCATAGCAACTATGTAGGTTCCCAAATGGCACACAAACCCAATTAGGCATGTTGGTTTATGAAATTGCAAGATAATTTGGGTTGATAAGGTCTTATACTTGCCAGATTTCAAATAACCTGATGTCAGTATTCAAATTAACTTCATTAGGTCATTGTTCATTACATTTTACCCTGATTTTTGTGTATCCAGGATCTTTGGAGTGGCAAACTGAGGGATTGTAAGCAATGCCAAGGGTT